GAGGATGGGACGGGACGGGACGGGACGGGGAGGGGAGACGAATCCCTCTGAGGCTTCCCGCCACCGCTGTCTTGTCCGTGGGAGCAGGAGAGCAGGAGCCGAAGCGTGCCCCCAGCGCGGGGGACCTGGGGCCGATCCGCGAGCCGGCGTTGGAGGAGAAGGAGGGTGCGCTGGATAGCGAGGACAGGTGAGCATCGCTGAGCCGCCCGCCGGGGAAGCAGCAGAAGCAGACTGCCCCCGTGCCATGTCACTAAGGGCTTTCTCCCCTCGCAGGCTCCCCACAGAGGCTGCCCACCACGCCGAGGACACGCAGGTCAGTGGAGCCCAGGGGCACGGGCACTAGCAGGTGGGCACGACAGGAACCGCTGCCCCGGCCCCGTCACCGCGCTCCATCCCTGGGGCTTTCCTTCCCGAGCAAGGCCAGGGCATTGGTGCCAGGGCTGCGGGAGCTCAGTGCATGGGGCCGCCCGCACGCCTTGTGATGGAGATGCCAGTGGGGCACCAGCCACACACACCCACGGTTACTACCGCCGTGCCAGCCTGCCCACGTGGTAGACATGGCTCGCTGCTCCCAGCAGGTTTGGCAGGGGATTTCCACCCCCGGCCCCAATGTCAGGGCATCGGTGAGGCATTGTGTTGGTGTTTGAGTTGCCTTGCAAGGTCACGGAGGGCAGCCTGGCCAGGGGCACGTGGGGGGCATGCTATAGGGCCGGAGCTGCTTGGAAGAGAAAGGCTGCCACGGCGATAAGACCCCGTCCCTCCAGCTGGCAGGGGACAGCGGGGGCCGACTCCTGGTGCAGACGGGAGCTCTCCCAGGGCTTGGGCCCCTCTGAGCCCCTGCCCAGCTCGCTCGGGTGATCCCAGCGCAATGCACCGTGAACGCAGCAGCGTTGCCGTCTCCACAAAATGCATCGACGCCACTGTCAGAGCAAAGTCCCCTCCGCTGACAGAGGACCTGGAGGCTGATTTGCATAATTAGACATCCAGATCAGCTGTTTTAAGTATGCAAATAACACCGGAAGGCCCTTGTGTGTTGTGCGGGGGGGGGGGCCTTTTGGTTGTGGGGGGGGGGGGGGGGGAACGATGTGCCTTTTTCACTGCTGTCACTGTTACTTGCTGGATTTCCTGCTTCTGCACCGCCGCAGCCTGAAGAGCCGGGAAGGTGATTAGCTCGCTTTGCATATGCAGATGAGCTGAATTAGAATGGCTCTCCCTAATGAGGAAGCAGAGCTGGCTGTGTTCAGCAGCTCCTTCACCAGCTGTCTTGTCTCTGTAGGATGCAGGCCAGGCGAGGGAGCAGGAGCCTGGGGACAAGCCAGGTAAAAAAAGCATCCCCTGGGCCAGTGTCCGTGGTGCTGTGGGGCCACGGGGCAGTTAGGGAGCAGAGCCCCCTCGCCCCCCCCAAGCTGGTCCCCATGAGCCCCTAAAACCACCTCCAACCTCTTTCTGATGCAGACAGTGACGACTCATTCGAATCATTCGACACGTCCAGCCCAGAGGAAGGGGAAGAGGCAGGGAGCAGGGAGACCCAGGCATGCCCGGCCATCACCATCACTGCACAGGTACGCAGGCAGAGTGTGGCTGGGCGGCTTCAGGGCATGGCAACATCTGCCCCACAGCTGGGGTGAGAACCAGGGCAAGAGCCCAGGCCTCCTGGAGCTGCCTGCCTGAGCGGGCCGGGAGGGAGGAGGCTGAGCGAAAGGGCACTGGCACCACGGCCTTTCCTGGCACCACATGCACCCGCTGGCTGCCGCAGGGTGGGGGCAAGTGCCAGGGTCTGGGGTGTGTGGGGGGAGGCTGGAGCTGGGTTGGCCTCTCACTCGGGGCTGGGGTGCGCTGTCCCCCCCCAGAGCAACGGGGCCCTGCAGAATGGCCAGGACGGGCTCGTGGAGTCGCCCCCCGAGAGGAACGGCGCGGGACCCCCCCACACCCTGCTGACCACCAGCTCCTCCGTGTCCAGCCTCGGCTCCACGGTACGTGGGCAGGGCAGGGTGGGAGCGGGGCTGGAGCGTGCAGGGGGGCAGGGTTGGATGGAGCAGGGAGCTGCATTGCGCCTCCTGCCCGTGCCCCCCTGAGCTCCCTGCACGTCCCGATCTCTTCCCCGCGCCTGCTGCAGCTGAGCGGCAGCATGATGAGCCTGTACAGCGAGGGGGACGTGGGCAGCGTGGAGGTACGCGGCTGCATCCAGCTCTCCCTGCACTACGAGGCCAAGAGGAAGGAGCTGCACATCCACGTCATCCAGTGCCGGGGGCTGGCCGAGGCCAAGAAACAGCGCTCGGACCCGTGAGTGCCGGGCAGGGGCCTGATCCTAGTCCCTAGCCCCCCAGGCTCTGGGTGCCAGGCTTGCCTGCCTGCCCAGCCCCAGGCCACCTCTGGCCCTCTTTCTGGGCACGGCCACGCTCCCCTTTGGCCCTAGGTGGGCAGCGCAGGGAGGGGCGCTTGTGGGTAGCAGCCTTGTTTGGGTGCAGCTGCCACGTCCGGGGCAGCGGCAGTGCCAGTCAAGGCTCCTATATCCTGGTCTAACCGTGTCCGCGCTAGGCACTGTACAACCGTTGCGGCACAGGGCGTGGAGGTGGGGGGAACTTCTGCTGGGTGCGAGGCAGCGGCAATCAGCCCCAGCCCCTCTGCCCGGCTCCCAGGTACGTCAAGACCTACCTGCTGCCGGACAAGTCCAACCACGGCAAGCGCAAAACGGCCGTCAAGAAGCGGAGCCTGGACCCCGTCTTCAACGAGACCCTCAAAGTGAGCAGGGGCTGGAGCCCAGCCAGGGCAGGGTCCCACCCAGGGGTGTCTGGAGCATCCTGTCCCTGGACGAGGGGGTTGAGGGCAGGGGTGCAGGGGCGTTGCTCTCTCTCGGGGCTGCTGGAAGGGGCGGGGGTCCAGCCGAGGGGCAGGCGGTGGCGTCGGGGAGCCCCTGGTGCCAGCGCCCCTCTCTCCCCCCGCCGGCGGCCGCAGTACAAGATGGAGAAGGACGAGCTCCAGAGCCGCGTGCTCAACGCGTCCGTCTGGCACCACGACACCCTGGGCCGCAACCTCTTCCTGGGCGAGGTGGAGATCGCGCTGAGCGCCTGGGACTGGGGCAACACGCACCCCGAGTGGTTCAACCTCCAGCCCCGGGTGAGGCACCCCCGCCCCGGCCCCACGCGCCCCCTATCCTACCACGCTCAGCCGGCGACGGTCTGTCTTCCTGTCCCTTTGTCCAGCCCGCTGCGACCCCGCTGGGTTGTTGCCAGCCAGGGGCAAGGGGCTGTACGTCCCCCTGTACACTCCCCCCCGTTCCTGCATCCCCCGCACACATGCGTGCACGCTGATCTCCCCGCACCCTTCCCGCAGACGCCGGTCTTCCCCAATGGCCTCATCAGCCGGGGCAAGCTCAACCTGGCGCTGAAGTTCATCCCCGCCGGGGCTGAAGGTAAGACCCGGGCACGTGGCTCCCGGAGCCAAGGTCACCTCTGCTTCCCTGGGCACCCTCACGCCAGGTGCAGGGGGATTGGCACAGCTGGGACGGGGAAAGCAGAGATGACAGACACGCAGGGGCCTGGCGGCAGGAAGGCAATGCACACGCGTGTCCAGGCAGGGAACAAGCCCGCACAGGTTGTGGGTGCAAGGGGAGCGGGGCAAGGAGCTGCCCCTGCCTCAGCACTTGCCCCTTCTCCCCCAGGAGCTGGCCTGCCTCCGACGGGGGAGCTGCACATCTGGGTGAAGGATGCCCAGAGCCTCATCCCCATCCGGGGCGGTACCGTGGACTCCTCCGTGCAGTGGTGAGCCCTCCGGCAGGGACGGGGATGCCCGAGGGGGCTGCGAGAAGGCTTGGGGGACCAGCAGGGACCCGAGGGCAGGCTGGGGGCAGCTAAGCCTCCAGCTCGTCCTGCTTTCCGGGCTCATGCTGCGCTCCTGCCCGCAGCTACGTCCTGCCGGATGACAGCAAGGCGAGCCGCCAGAAGACCCGGGTGGTGAAGCGGAGCCTGACCCCGCTGTTCAACCACACCATGGTGTACGACGGCTTCCAGGCCAAGGACCTCAGCGAGGCCTGCGCCGAGTTCACCCTCTGGCACCACGAGAACTTCTCCAAGCAGCTGCTGGGAGGCCTCCGCCTCAGCCTGGGCACCGGTGAGCCAGGGCCCGGCGGCTGCTGGGCACGATGGGGGGACTGGTGCCTCCTGGGCGTCTGCATCCACCTGGGGAAGGGCCCAGGTGAGGGTGCAGAGGCCCCGTGGGTGACGGTGCCCCCCTCTCTCCCTGGCAGGGAGCAGCTACGGGCTGCCCGTGCCCTGGATGGACTCCACGGAGGAGGAGCGGCGTGTCTGGGACAGCCTGCTGCAGCAGCCCGGCCTCTGGGTGGAAGCCCTGCTGCCCCTGCGGACCAACCTCACCCCCAGGACTTAGCTCCCCCCCGGCCCGGACTCCCCCCTGCTGCTGGGGGTGGCAGGCAGGACTGGCTTCTGATGCCAGGGTGCTGGCCCAGGCGATCCCAGCGAGTCCCAGAGCTGCTGCACCCGACCCGTCTTGGAAATAAACCCCCGTGCAACCGCACAAGGCTGGAGATGCTGCCCCGGTGTCTGCGCTCACAGCTCGTGGTGCCACGTGGAGGGAGGCTGCCCATTGTGGTGGGTACAGGGCTGCCGTCTCCCCTGCCCGGGGGTGCTGAGCCCAGGCAGGATGATGCCCATCCGGGCTCTGGGCAGCTGTTCAGCTCACAGACCCTGGCTCTCATCACCCATAACTCCCCCCGCGACGCCCCAATGAGGAGGTGCCCACGGGCACAATAAGCAGCTGTTTATTGCTCGGTGCACAGTGCTGCGGTGTCCCTGAGGATGCCATAGGCACCGACCTTGGGGGTGTCCCCGTCCCAGCCTGGGGGCCAGCGAGATGCTGGAGGCAGCTGTTGGCGGTGCAAGCAAGCGGAGCCGGTCTGGCCGGGAGGCTCCATCCTCTGCGGCTGGGCAAGGGCCGGAGAAGGTCTCAGTCTGCTCCCTGCTGCGCCAGCGCCCCCCCCCGCCCCGGCGGGGACAGGGCCAGCCTTGTGTGGCCGCGGCTAGGTCCCCGGCTGCCACGTGGCCGTCTTGGAGGAGACGGTCCAACCCAGGCCTGGCATCTCCCACCCTGAGCCCCCTCGTCCCAGGAAGGGGCAGCCTGCCCTGGGGAGCCAGGGAGGGAGAGCGGGGTGGTGGTACCTGATACCCGTGTACAGCAGGTCGTCCCGCGTGGCGCAGGTCAGCAGGTCGTGCAGGGTGAAGCCGTGTGCCAGGAGCTGCAGGGGAGAGGAGATGTGGGCAGGGGGCTTGGCTGACCCCCCCTCGGGCCGGGCAGAGGGCTCCAGGCCCCGTGGAGGGGGAGTCCAGCCGGCACTTGGGAGCCCAGAGCCGCACGGCCGGCCTCTGTCGTGGGCCAGCTCTTCTCGAAGCCCAGGAGGGGAGACATGGGGCGTGTGGCTCAGAAGCGGTGGAGGATTTAGCCCCAAACCCACGCCGTCCATGGCCGTGCCCTGGGGGCCCTACCGTCTCGGTCGTGTCCCTGTCAACGCTGTGGTGCTGCAGCCAGTCCACGAGGAGGGGGTCCGGGGGCTGTGCCTGGCAGGGAGCGGAGACAACTGGGGGGGAAGGGGCTGGGTGAGCGTCCGGGACCCCAGCAAACCCCGTGCCCAAGGCCACCTGGGCCAGAAGAGAGACCTCTCCCCCCATCACGGCTCAGCTCAGCCCAGGAGGGTATCGCCCCGTGTCTTGCAGCAGACCCCAGGTCCCCTGCCCTCAGCCCCGCTCACCGACGGGCAGTGACCTCCGCCCAGTGTTGGCGTCCTGTCTGGCCGCCTGCAGCGCCCTCCTCACCAGCCCCTGCCACTCCTGCTCCTTCTGCACCAGCTCCTGCAGCAGCCTGGAGGGGACAAGCCATGAGGCTGGGGGCCAGGGGCTGGCCGCTCCCCATGCGGCACCGCAGCGTGGGCAGCCTCATGCTCCCACGTGCTGTCCTCACCTGCCCGTCTCCACGTGGAGGTGCCTGAGCTGTGCCATGAGCAGGGAGGTGCCTGGTGGGTTGGTTTGGGCACCGGGGCTGGCATCGCCACCCGGCCTCAGAGCCCCCTCGCTGCCCGTTGTGGCTGGCTGGCTCTTGGTCTCCTCTTGCTCCTCCTCCTCCTCCTCCTCCTCATTGCTTGCTTCTTCGAGGTCCTTTTTGCCCTGCACCCTGGCGGTCAAGCCAAGCTCTAGAGGCACCCAAGAGACATGGCAAGGAGGGTCCGGCGCCTGCCTTGCTGCGCTCAGGACAGCCCCCGAAGCACGCCGACGTCCCAGCTGCAGCTCAGCTAGGGATGCTGTCTTCTCCGACCGCGCCCTCAGCTCCAAGCTGAGCCAAGGGCATCCCAGAGCATGGCCCCCCCATGCCTGCCCCTGGCCCACCTGTCAGGAGCAGGGTCAATGCCGCCTGCACCGCCTGTCCCATGAGGTTGTCCAGCGCGAACATCCAGTGCGGCTTGATCTGGTGCCGCCGCAGGACTTGCTTCACCTGCAGGAGTTGGGGGTACACGGGGCGTGGGCAGGGGGCAGCCTCTGCCCCCCCACCCCTCCCTCCAAGACCCCCTGCCCTCTGGGTGCAATGTGGGTGGGGGCAGAGCCCAGCCCGGGGCACTCACCGCCTCCTGGAAGCCAAAGAGCAGCGGCTGGGCGTGGCGGAGGCTCCGGCCGCTTGCCTGCAGCTGGCCTTGCAGTGCCCGCAGGTCTTGCTCCAGCTGCCGGGGGCTGGGGGAGCGGATGAAGCCCCCAAGGCAGGACACCAGCTGGGCGATGTGGTCCGGCTCCAGCCGAGCTCCCTCCGCGCTCTGCAGCGGAAAGAGCAAGCTTCAGCCACAGCTTGGGAGAGCATTGAGGCCCCCAACCCCCTGGGCTAGATGCCATGCCCTGCCCGAGTTTGCCCAGGGAGTGGCAGGGCTGGGGACTGGTACGGGCCTGTGCCTGGGTCTCTTGCAGGGTGGCCACGAGGCTGGGCAGCTCCTCAGTGAGGATGCGGTGCAGGGTGGCTCTGCGCTCGCTGTCCTTCCGCAGCAAGAAGAGGCCACTGCTTTCCTCCGAGGAGGACGACGAGATGCTGAAATCGGAGCTGGATGACTCCTCGGGGGCCCTGGGGAGGCAAGGGAGTGGCAGGGGGGTGCAGCAATGCCTGGGCATGTGGCAGGTGGGGGGCAAGGAGCTGGCGGAGGGACCCCCCAACCCCTGTAAAGCCAGAGCTCCCCCAGCTACAGCCCAGGGGGCTCCCAGCCTGGTGGGTGATGCAGGGGAGATGCAGACCCCCGGCAGGGCCATGGCAGAGGCTTGGGGGGGTGCCCTTTCCTTGCTTGGCACTTCAATACCAAGGAAAGCCTTAAAACCATCTATGGGGGCTGCAGGCAGCCTGGCGCGGCCGGGCTGTGAGCTCCAGGAACAGGCACTGCATTGCATCCCCTCGGCGGGCTCCCTCCAAGCGCCCGGAGCTGCACCCACGGAGGGGCTGCACCAGGTGGGAACCAGTTATATAAAGCCAGGTGCATGGGCAGGCCGTGGCCGCCAGGGGTCACCCCCTCCCTTCTCGCCAGCCCCTGGCACCCGTGCTGGCCCTGCCAGGGGGGCACGGGGCGCAGGACCGGCACCCGTCCCTGCTGCAGCAGGGACTGAGTTGCACGACCGTGCATGCAGGGTAAGGCGGGGCAGGACACCAGGACCAGGGGGCACGTTCGTGCGTGCCCAGAAGCTACCCCCTCCACCTCAAAAGGGGGCTGTACCCGCGGCAGCCGCGTCTCAGGGTCGCCTCGCTGGTGCAGCGAGCCAAGAGTCTGCCGTCCACCTTGGCACCTGCCCTGGGGACCTGCAAGGATGAGGAGACGCTCCTGGGGATGCCGGCAGCCTCTCCGCGGCGCGCCAGAATCGGGGAGTCACCTGCGGGAAGATAGGTCTGGTCACTCTGCTGCCCCGGTTCTCCGTCACCTGCCCCCGTGCCCGCCCCACAGCTCACCTGCCCCCTCGGCCGGCGCGCCGGGGCTCCTGGCTTTCTTTCGGCTGGAGGGCGCCAGGAAGGGCTGCAGCAGCAGGGCCGCGGCTGTGGCCCGCTTGTCTGGCTCCACCTCGAAGCAGGCGAGGATGAAGGCCTTGGCTTCTCCCGACATGGAGTCCGGCACCTTGGGGTGCATCTTGAACATCCCCACCTGGGCGGGAGGGGGGAGCTCCTGGCTCATCAGTCTCTTCTGCATCCCCGTTGCACAGGCTGGGTCCAGGCCAGCCCCGCCTTCGCTGTCCACCCTGTGCTTGACCAGTCCAGATACCCCCTGTACCCACCCCGTGGTAGATACCTTGAACATGGCAGCCTGTGGGCTCTCCAGCTCGTAGAAGGGGGGCTTGCCCGTAGCCATCTCGATGAGGGTGCAGCCCAGGGACCAGATGTCCGCCGGCTTCCCGTAGCCCCGCGGGCCGTGGTCGATGACCTCGGGGGCCATGTACTGCAGGGTGCCTGGCACCAGAGTGTGACCAAGAGAAGCCAGCCCACCCAGAGGAGCAGAGACGGCCCCGATCCTGGGAGCCGCAGTGGGCAGCACCGGCTCCTTCCCTCACCCCGGCACAGGGGCAGGAGGGTCACCCCCGCCCCGCTCTCCTCCTCCCAGAAAGAGGGACGACCCTGAGGCGAGGACCTCACCTGTGAAGGTCTCGGTGCTGGGGCTGATCCCAGCCAGCCGCTTGGAGGTGCCGAAGTCGGAGATCTTGAGCACCCCGCTGTACGTGTTGATGAGGACGTTGTCGCCCTGCCGGAAGGGACGGGGTCACTCTCTCCCCGAGCCAGCTCCGCTGGCCGAGGGTGCCAGGGACAGTCCCTTCGGCTCCCGCGGTCCACAGCAGAGCTGGGCGTGTGGGTCCGCTTGGCCCCAGGGCCCCCATCCCCGGCGGGGCTCCAGGCTCCACCAGCCCTGGCTCACCTTGATGTCGCGGTGGACGATCTGGTTGTCGTGCAGGTAGCGCAGCCCCTCCAGGATCTGCCGGGTGTAGTAGACGATGGTGGGCTCGTTGTCCTTCAGAGGGCCCCACTTGGAGTGCAGCAAGGACGAGAGGCTCCCTGCAGATCACAGAATTGGAGGATCACCGAGACGGGGGGCTGGAAGGCATCTTTGGAGGTCACATCTAGTCCAACCCCGTCCAAACCATCATCTAAGCTCTTAGTAAAACTACTGTCGCCCCTGTGCAGCCCCTAACACAGCTCCAGGCATTGCGCCCGATCCTGCCACGGGTCACGCAGGGCAACTACGGAGCCAGAGCCCTGCTCCTGGAAAAGGGCAACACGCTCAAGGGATGCCGGGCAGGAGGAAGGCAAAGCCCCCCAGTCCATACCCGTCTGCAATGTCTGGGGCTTCTCCAGAGTGGGACAGACCCCGCGGGGGGAATCGGAGCAGGAGGGGAACAGCCCAAGGGCACGGACAGGCAGTGCACAGCCACGGTGGCCCCAGGACAGCGCGAGAAGTGAGGCCAGCTGGACCCCAGTGCATCCCCTCGCACCCTGCCCCGAGAGCCATGCGGACGCTGGGTTCAGTCCCCACTGGCCCAGAAAGGGGGTCCCGGCTGCACCCACCTCCTGGCACCTCCTCCATGAAGATCTTGATGAAGCCGTCCTGGCTGATGGAGCCCAGGTACTGGACGATGTTCTTATGCCTCAAGCGCTTGTGCAGGGCAATCTCCTCGTGCAGCGGCTGCGAGTATCTAGGCCGTGGGCAGAAGGGGGTTACACCCGGCCTGTCCCTCCCTGGCGGTGAGGGGCTCTGGACTGTGGCAGGGCTTTCTGGTCCCTGCAGGTTAGGGCCCCGACCTGCAGCTGCACACCCACCTACAGCTCATAGGAGGCAGCTGGAAGGGGCCACGTCTAGTCCAACCCCTGCTCAAGGCAGGCTCAACCCTGACTTAACCATCCCCAGTGGAGTCTCCATCCCTGGCGGGTTTTAAGACCCAGGTAGACAAAGCCTTGGCTGGGATGATGTAGGTGGGGCTGGTCCTGCTTGGAGCAGGGGGTTGGACTGGATGTGACCTCCTGCGGTCCCTTCCCACCCTCATTTCTATGATCCTCTGACTCCAAGGGAGGCCTCACTAGTGCTGAACAGAGCACAAGAATCACGGTCCGACTTGCAAGCGACACTCCTGTTAACACAACCCGGGGCTGCTGGCCTGTTCTGCCACAGTATCACGGTGCATTCGTGGGAGTCATAAAATCATACAAAATCAGGGTTGGAAGGGACCTCAGGGAGTCTCAGGCACCCCCGGCCGGCTCACACCCCGCTCCCAGCCTCCAGCCCCCATCTGCCATCCAGCCTGGCCCTACCTGCCATCCTGCTCCGGGATCTCCTTGATGGCGATGCGCACCTGGTTGCTGAGGTCGCGTCCAGCATAGACAATGCCGTAGGTGCCCTTGCCCAGCACCACCCGGTCGCCCGTCTCCGTGTACTCGTAGTCGTACTGCAGGGGCCAGAGCAAGGTCAGAGCTGGGGCTGTGGACCCCAGACCCTGCCCTGGCAGCCTGGGTGCTTCTGCTGCCCCTGGGCGGGCACCCAGAGCTCCCGGCGCCCACCAAAGCAGCTTGCCCAGCTGCCGTGAGCACCCACCTCCAAGACCTCACTAGCGCTGCTGCCTGCCTCCTCGCCGGACCCTGCCTGCGCCGCCACGATGGAGCCGACCAGCTCGCAGAACCTGCCGCCACATGGGACACGGCTCGGACGTGGCCTCACCTCCTCCAGAGCTCCATGGAGGGGGAGATGCCATGACAGGCTGCGCGGGGCTGGGCTGGGGGGCGCACCTGGCCGCAGCCCCCTCCCTGCCCTGCCCTGCCCCGCGCTCCCCAGCTCACCAGCGGCAGTGGTGCTGGGTGGGGAAGCACAGCTGGAAGTCCTCGGCCGCGGGCAGCACGTACAGGAAGGAGCAGCGTTCGTCCCACTTGGAGATGCTGGAGGAGGTGCCCGACAGTGAGGCTTCCCAGTTGCCCCAAAAGAGCTGGGCTGGTGCCCCTGCGTAGGGGCCACATGCCCTCACCCCACTCCCTGCACTGCCAGTACCTCCAAAGGGACAGGCTCTGGTCACTGCTGGCTCAGCCAGGGCACAGGGGGTTCAACCGGACGCGGCTGAGCCCGAGACCTCGCCGAGAGGCGAAGGAAGGGGGAAACGCCTCACCTGACCCCGCGGATGGAGGAAGCCGGGAAGGTCCAGCTGGAAACCCCTGTCTGCGGGGAAACAAAAACCGCGTGGGGCACAGGCTGGGGAGCCCGGGGAGCCAGGCAGGGCAGGGCAGGGCAGGGCTCTTACCTCCTCCATGGGGCAGACGTGGTGGAGCATCAGGGAGCATTCGGCCTGGTCCTCCCGCACGGTCAGCTGGGCCGGCTGCAGGACCTGGGCCGGCTCTAGGATCAGCACCTGGAGCAGACAGACAGGGCAGCTGATGGACTGGGCCTGCAGGCTGTGGGGCAGGGGAAGGGAAGCCTCGTTCGTCTCCCCCCAGCAAGGACCCCTGGCGCAGGCGACCCCATGGAGAAGACCAGCAAACCGCACGCGCGGGCTCCTCACCGGGCAGCTGTCCGTGGGGGCGAAGGGCTGGGACGACGCCAGCAGGAAGCCCAGCCAGAAGTCTGCCAGGGCCTGCCTGGGGGATGTGTCTGCCAGGCTCTTCTTGAAGTGCTTGTAAATCAGGAAGGTCTCCATGACGGAGACCAGGTACCTGCGGGGAGAGGATGAGCAGGGGCTCTGGGCCAGCCTGGTCCCCCATGAGAGAGGTGCTTGAGGGATGCCCGAGCTGGACCACCGCCTCCCCTGCCCATGTCAGGATGCTCGGGGGTCCCGCAGGCACGTCTGCCACCCACCAGACAGGGGCGTGGAGCTTGTAGAGCTTCTCCGAGGCCTGGGTGACCTTGGGCAGGTTGTTGGACAGGATGGCAGTGCCCAGGTAGAAGCCCACATCCCAGTAATACTCCATCTTCTCCAGGCTGCCCTTGCGGCCCTGAAGGCAGCCCAGCTTCATGCCTGGCAGGGAGGAGGGGAGGGAAGGGAGGGCAGGGACATGGCCATGGGGACCCCCTGCCCACCCCACTGCCCCACGGCTTGTGCCGGGCGCACACTCTTCCCCAACCCCCAGGGCAGCACGCGCGTCCAGGACAGCCCATGGGGAGCCCTGCAGGGCATCTTTCGCACCCAGGACCCTGCACGCCAGGCCCCCTAAGCCCAACCCGGGGCTGAGACCACTCCCTGCCTCTAGCAGATGCAGCGTCCCCCCGCTTGGTTCGCTGGGAGAACCAGGGACAGAGGGGACGCACTTCCTCCCCTGCAACCCCCAAGGACCCCTTGCCCCATCCCAGAGGCTCGTCTGCTGCAGACAGAGAGAAGTTGGCAGACCCCCGCCTCCATCTCACCCACCCTCTTCTGGGCCTCAAGACATGGGGCCAGGAGGCTGTGGCTCCTCGGCCAGGAGGGAAAGGGGCCGCTCACCTATTTGCCGGAGCTGCAGGGAGGTCTCGAACTCGTGCCCAACAGCCATGAGGAGGACAGCGGCATTGAGCCCAGCGTGGAGGCTGGGTTCTGTGTCAAAGGCTTTGCTGTACCTGGGGAGATGCCGCGAGTCACTCGACAGGCCCCCAGGCCCCACTGGCAACAGGTGGCTGCTCTGGGGTGTGGTGTGGCAGGCGTACGGGGGACAGCCTGGCCACGGGCGTTCCCCCCAAGTGCCCCAAGGAGGGTCAACACATACGAAGCTGCAAGATTATCAGTCTCCATGCGGCTTCTCCCAGGGTTTGGTGCCCAGAGAGCCTGAGCCCCGTGCAACTCGGCAGGGGCTTGCATTGGCGCCCTCGGTCTTCATGCACCGGTGCCCGGCGCCTTCCCCCAGACCTCACCAGTGCAAGGACTGGTCCCTCTTGGCGGTGTCCGTGAAGTTGGAGCTGATGAACATGTCCTTGTAGATGCGGCCACACATGCAGTACAGGTCGGGCGCCACTCCTTCCCGCTGCTCCACCACCGGCAGCAGCACGGCCAACGCCTTCTCCCGGTCCCCAGGCTGGTTTCGGCTGCACGGGGGGTGCACAGTGAGCCGAGGCTGCCCCGGGCACCTCCAGGCAATGGAGCCCAGAGGAGGGAGCAAGGAGAAGCGGTGCCCAAATCCCACCCTCTGGTATTGCGTACGGCACCCAATGCTAAGTGCCCTCAGGAGCAAAGCTGTGACTACGGGACTCCTTGCTGCAGCTCGGGCCAAGTCTGCCCCGTGGAGAGAGGACTCCAGGCTTCAAACCTCCGTGTGCAGCCCAGGACACACAGGCAGGCACGTCTGCCCCTGCCCAAGTCTCCCTGGCAGGAGTCGCCGGTGCCACTGGTGCCCACGAGCTCCGGCGAGGGGGGACTTGGCACCGGCAGGGCCTGCCCCAGGCTGCAGGAGCTGCTCACCTGTTGAGGGCGAAGGCGTAATGGAAGCGGATGTTGTGCTGCTCGGCCACGTCGCAGGTGGGCAGGGCATGGAGGGTCTCCACCAGCGAGATGATGGCGTCGTAGTTCTGTGGGGGCAGGTGGGGGGGGTCACAGGGAGCTGGCGGGCAGCTCCAGAGACCCTTTCCCCCCAGCTAAGAGGGCAGCCACGTCGGCCAGAGCGGTCTGCAGAAACCAGGGACCCGCTGGGTTAGGCCCTGCCCCGCAGCCAGCTCCATGCCCCCTAGGCGTGCTGGGTCTACTCTGTCAGGGTGATGCCCCTACAGACAGCTCCATCCGGGATCGCAGCCAGGCAGATCCCAGCTCCTCCAGGGAGGGGCATGAGGTAGCTGCACGCGGGCTCCCCCTTCTAGGGGACACACACGGGGCCCCCCGACCCCGGCGGCACCTGGACGTCGCGGTAGGACAGGAGGAGGTTCACGACGATGTCGAGGCTGAGGAACTCGACACTGTCCAGGCGCTGCTGGATACGGGCCAGCTCCTGGCTCAGCTGCTCGCCCCGGTACTGCTCCCGGGCATGGCGGATGTCCCGGCGGAGGATCTCCCGGAAGTACTCGCTGCGGAGCAAGGAAAGGAGCGCCCCTGAGCTGGAGGGGAGACTGCTCCCTATGACCGTGGCACTGGGGGACCCCGGGGACAAGCCCCCAGCACAGCGCATCAGGGGTATCCCCCACCCCCTCCGCTCCCAGACTGACAGGCAGGGCCAAGCATCCAAAGGGTGCAAGCCCGGACCCCAGGGGCTCAGGCAGAGGGCCCAGGGGGGTGACAATAGACCCATGGCAGAGCTGGGCTTGCATGGAGAAGACCCTGGTCTGGTCTGACAGTGATGTGGGGTCAGAGCCCCCAGCCCCAGGCCTTTCCTGCAGGAGCCCCCCGTCTTCCCTCTCCCCCAGCAGGGAAGGGCCAGGGCTGGGCCCATTGTTTCTACCCCCTCTGTAGTGGGCAGGAAGCTGCGGTCTGCCCTGCTGAAGCCTGCTCGGCTCTTTCTCTTCCTCCTTGCCTCTCCCCACCCCCGGAAAGGGGATGAGAGACAGCTGCAAAGAGCGTGACGGGATGCAGGGGCAAGGGGGTCAGCTCAGCTGCTCAGCGCCTCGGTCAGGAGATGGGGACAAAGCGCTGCCAGGTCCCGTGCTGGGGGCAGCCCAAAGGCTGCTGGGTTTGAGCCCTAGCGGTGCCAGCACAAGCCTGGGACTTGTCTTGGGAGCCCCCCACCTGCGCTACCTCCCTGATGGCCCGCCCAGGGCTGGCAGAGGGGCCGTGCCCGGTGGGCACAGCCGTACCAGGAGTTGGTGGGGGTGGCCTCGAGCAGCTTGGCCAAGCGTGCCGCCAGCGGGGTGAAGAAGGCCTCCATGTCAAAGCTGGGCTGGAAGAGCTCGGTCAGGCACTTCATGGCGCTGGCGTCGCAGCACAGGACTTTGTTCTGGGCAGTCACCACGTAGGGGATGAGCGTGTAGCTGCTGCAGCAGTCCTGGCGGAGGGAGCGGGGCAGGGGTCAGGGTGCTGGGCGATTCCCCCGCCCCTCCTCCCCCAGCCTTTGCTTCGTGTCTTGACATCCCCGAGGGCAGAGAACCTGTTTCTCCACGGATCAGAGCAGCGTGGGCTCCCCCTCCCGCTCACCCCCACCCCCACTGCTGGATCTCTGCCCAGCTCTGAAGAAGCAGTAGGAGCTTTGTTCATACAGCTTCTGCGGCAAGCAGAGCTTTAACCACCTGGCATGGAATGGGGCCATCATTAGGGTCCAGAGTCAACAGCCCCTTATGTATAAAAAGCAAGACAGCCAGGGGTGCCAGGTGCTGTTGCACCGGCAGGAGCTGCCCTGCCCCCTCCCCTGCATGCAGCCTACCTGGATGGGGGACGGGGGACAGGACTGCAGTGGGCAGCTGGCGGGGAGCAGACTGTGTAGCTGCTAGCACGGGGATGTGGCAGCGTGTGGGCAAGGGACACGGTTGGAGGCTGGGACACTTCCTGCACAGCCATGTGTGTGTGCATACATGTATATGCATGCATGTGTGTGCGCGCGCGCATGCATACATGTCGGTATGTGTGCATGCATACGTGTGTATGCACATGCACGTGTGGGTGGATGCATGCATGTAGACGTGTAAATGTGCATGCATGTGTGCAGTGTGCGCATGTGTTCGGATGTATGCCTGCATGCATGTGTGCACACACGTATGTATGTGCGTGCCAGCCTCAGCCCAGCTGCTGGCAGATGCCAGGAGGGGAATCGCCCCAGGTGAGCCGGGCCAGGAGGGGGTGGAAATGAATCAAGAGGAAGAGGCAGGTCCGGAGCAGCAAAGGAGACTCACGGAGTTCTTCTGGCAGACGTCCTCCTGCGGAGACAGAGCGGGGCACTGAGCTGATCACGGGCCCGCACGGGGCATCTCGGCCAATGCCAATCAGCCTGCCTCAGCGCCCGCTCCTCCGCGTCGTGCCCAGGCACGGGGGAGCAGGACGCCCACCACAGGGAGCCACACGGGACCACTCATGTCCCTTCCCCGACAAAGCAAGCCACAGTGATCAGGGAGAACCTTTGTGCAGGCTTTCAGGCCCTGGGCAGGCTCGGTGCCAAGCTGGGAGCTACGGGGGCTGGCAGGGAGTGTTAAATGGCTGTGGGGTTAAGGCTGCATTAGCTCGGGGTCCCCGGGGGGGTCATGCTGCGGGGAGGTCTGAGCTGCACTTCCACCACGTGCCGTAAGCCTCCACCCAGCTCAGCTGTTTGCACCAGGGCCCCCAGCTCCCCGCATGCCTGTGGGTGAGCCCCCAAGTCTCTCCATGCCTCGGTTTCCTTGCACAAAGGAGAACCGATTCCTCCTCCACCCCGTTCTTTCAATCGCGGACTTCCACGCACCGTTCGCTGTAGGGTGCCCAGCACCACGGGGCCCTGCCACTGCCACCATCATGCTGGTGGTAAGCAGCCCCAGACACAAGCTGCTTCCTTGTCACAGGAGACAGAGGATTACATGGGACACCTGCCCGTCTGCCGAGACCCTCACCCATGCCCGGAGATTGCCCAGGCCCCGCTGCAAGCTAGCGTGTCTGAGCTCTGGCATGGTGCTTCCCAGTGAGAGACCTCACTTTGTAAGGCAGGCAAATGGGTGCCGCCTCTGGTGGGGAAACTGAGGCACGGGGTGGGGACGAGGCTTGGCCCAGCAAAGGCAGTCTAGCGGGGACCAGAACGCAGGCCCCACCTGCCCCCGCAGCTCCCAGTCTGCTATCCCACCCGCTGGGTTTCACCTTCCCCAGGACCTTCCACCCAGGGAGGCTCCTGCTCGCCCCACTCACCCGGAGAGCCTGCAGGTCGGGCAGGTCGGTGTGGCAGCACAGCAGGATGTTGTTGGTCATGCTGAAGCTCTCGCGCACGCCCAGGTGGTAGAAGAGCGAGGGCTGGCATTGGGAGATGTTCACCTCCACCACGGCCACGTCTGCGGGGAAGCAGGGGGACCGTCACGCACAGGCCCGCAGGGGCATGCACCCACCTCGGCCAGCGCACGGCTCCCAGCCCCAGCCTGGGAAGGAGCCTGTTGGGGTCTCAGTCAATCCCAGTGGCTATGGGTGGGCTCAGAGCCCAGGGACCCTCATGCGCTCCTGGAGAAGCCTGCGGAGCGGTTGGCCTGCCTGCTGCGCACCACAGGAGAGGCAGCCCAGATGCTGCTCCTCTCTCCAGCCTTGCAGTCCTCATCCAAGCTGCCATCAGAGGGGCTCAGACGTGGAGCCTAAGGTGCACGTGGTGGGGGCAGCTTCTGGGATGTGGGGAAGGCTTCCCAGCTTGCTGCTGGGGAAACCGAGGCAGAGAACCTGAGCACCCTCACCCTGCCCTGCACTTGGCAGCCCTCGAGAAGATGGGTCCTAGAGCAGGGCGAGTAGGAGGGAACCCAGGAGTCCTGACTCCCGCTTCCCATGCAGTCACTCCAGCCAGCACCGTGGCTCTGGGTGGGCTGCCCTCATCCTGCTGCCGGAAGCATTTCCCTGCGGCATCTGCCTGGCTCCTCTGGCGAGGCTGCCAGGCAGGCCTGGGGGACCCGTGCCAACGGGAAGCTGGCATTTTCCACCCCAGCAAAGCCAGAGCACACGGCAGCAGGGGCTGACGGTGAGAAGGGACCTTTCTGATGGACTCGATCACAAGCACGAGCCTTGCACACCCGCTCCAAGGGCACAGGTGAGCCCCCCGTGCCCGCCCGCGCCCGGGAGGCACAGCTGCCTGCGCTCTGTCCTCTGGCAGTGTCAGGAGGAGACCGCAGCTGACAGGAAGGCGGTGACCACACCACGCAAGTTGTTTCCACATTAGTTGACATCCTTCTGCTCCAGCAGATTTTGGCCCTGGCATGCTTCTTCTTAAAGGGCCAGGCTCTCATATTCAGCATGTCCTTGGGTGCAAAGGCACCCGCAGTCTGTGCCACCCTTCTGGGCAGGGGAGAGCTGAGCGGGCTGCCTCTCTCCCCCTGCCCTGCTGAGACGCTGTCCCTTGGCCCGCACAGCTCTCCCCCCAACAATGGAGACGGTGTCTGGGCAAAGGTCAGAGAGGGCCAGGCCTGGCTGGGGCCCCCGACACATGGCTTGCAATGCTGGGGCTGCCGGCCCCCTGGGCAAAGCATCCCCCTCCCAGCCTGCGGGTCCTGCCAGCCACCTCCAGCTGCAGCCCCCACTTCAGGGGGCTTGTGACGGTTTGCTTTTGAGCCACCCCCACCACTAAGAAGCCACAGCAAAGCCAGGCCTGGATGTCATCAGTGGAGCAAGGCTGGCAGTGCCTCTCTTCCAGCCAGATGCTGGGGCATGAGTTGGATGGGATGGGCAGGGGAAGGGGCTGGGGCAGGAGCCGGGTCTCACCCCAGGATGGGCAAGGAAAGGGCTGGGGGGCAGGAAAAGGGCTGGGGGGCAGGAGTTGAGTTTCAACCTGGGATGGGCAGGGACGAGGCTGCGGGGCAGCAGTGCCATACCTAGACTCCTGGCGGCCCTGGGCGAACCTTTAGTATCGGGCCCCCTCTGCCAGAGGTAATGATTTTTTGTTGCAAAAGGCTTGATCACATCTGCAGTATCGATGTCTTTAAATAGTTTGTTCTCAATTGACAACATTGCCAGTCCCGTACGTGCACAATATGAACACTTTCTTTTGCAATTGTAATTTTTTTTCCCTTCATTTTTGGGCCCCCTTTCTGTCTGGCCCCAGGCAGCTGCCTGGTTGGCCCATGCCTGTGTCCGGGTCTGGGGGGCAGGAGCCGGGTTTGCACCCAGGAGGGGCAGGGAGGGGCCGGGGGCAGGAGCCGGGTTTGCACCCAGGAGGGGCAGGGAGGGGCCGGGGGCAGGCGCCGGGGTTGCACCCCGGCGGGGCAGGGGGGGGGCGGGGGAGGGGG